CTTTTTTGGAATAGAATGCTAATGATTTTTTAAAAGCAAATGTAAATCCAAAACCTTGACCTCAGTCAGTAGTATCAAATATGTCAGTATCTCAAGGTAAGGAATTTCACATATAGTAGCATGTTACCGATAGATTGTTTTTACATCATACTGTATAGTTCAGGTTTACATTCATTTTGGTACCACTTTTGCCACATAGCAAACCCCCCCATTTTTATTAGAATGTTTGTTTTTATTTCCACCAATATTAGGCGTGTAGCGGGTGACTGCTTTTTCTCTGTACATGTAATGTTTGTAAGCAAGGAGTAAACAATAAAAATGGGACCTGCAGATGCTACATAACACAGTGATATGCAAAAACTTGAAAATGGTAATAAACAGTAGAGAAATCTTTTTTTACAACACTGTGTTACAAAAGATTGATGCAAAAATTGAAAACTTCTTTTTCACACAATACGTTTCATATCTACATCACACTTCTTTTTTAGCCATTAGTAAAATGTCATTGCATATTTGCTATAATTTTAAATATATTCAGATAGATGGAGAGTTGTATTTTGGCACCTGGTTTATCCTGCTAATTATATATGGGTAAAGTACAAAAGGAGTATATTGTTCACCCTATTTATAGTCCAGTGAAGCTGTGTTAACTTCAAACAGCCAATCAGGTATAGGGAAGAACAATTTCAAAAAGGATCTTCCCTTGGACATGATTTGATGTCTGGACACTTTTAGTAGGCTACGTTTAATAATACTTCTTTAGTATTCAACCCCACCATGTAATAGCAATAACTAGAAGATATTTTAAGTCCAACTGGAGGCAAAATATTTTTGAATAGACTTGGGAATTAAGTTAATACTACTGTCAAGTTTTTATTGGTGTCCACGACCTTAGGGGTCCTAGTGAGGTTTACGCTCACTTCCTGCCCCATGGCAGCAGGATTGAGAAGCTTGGTTGTCACTGGGAAAGGAAGTCACATAAAGTAATAATATCCTGACGGAAGGTCAAATCCTTATCCATTTCAGTAAAATAAAAATTTGGATGCAGCCTATATGCCAGCTGGACTAATTTCCTATGACTTCCTGTCCCAACAGTAAATGGAAGGAATTCTCCCCAATGGTAATACAGACATCAATAAAAACATAACAGGAGCTCTATCCCTTCTTCACTGAAAACGAAAATAAACGATGTTGGGCCTAAATGAGAAGCTGTGACCTCACCTTACCTTTTAAACTGGTCCCAGGTTCACAGGGCAGCCACCTCCATGTGACTGCACACATCCCTGGATTATATTCAGAGAGCCCCAGGATCCCCATATAGCTCAATTATGAAGAAGTAGGACCAGGAGATAGCAAATAGCATGAAAACAGCACCAGGAGTATAATATGATTGCCAATAAGACAAAGAGTAATCAATCCTGTTTTTTTTCTTCTAGTGAGTTAATTACAATAAAACTGTTATAAAATAGCCACTTTAAGGACTTATGTAGAATCTTTTGTATTTGGAAAATTCACCATATCATATGAAACTGAGAAGCCTGGAGAAGTACTATAAGCAAAAGGTTCTCACCAAGGCACCGTATAGTTCCAGATCCTAACAGAGTAGCAAAAGATAAATTCAGTCCTGGTAAATTTGTCTTCATCTGGACAGCAAAGGCTCCCCAAAACTCACTAATAAAAAGTCAATTCAGGGGCAACCAGAGGGCTTTAAATAGTTTTATAACAGATGAACAGTATGTACATGATGTATAACTTTGAATGTAAATGATCCAGTTGCACATTCATTACATATGCAATACATAAGATAAAGATTAAGAATATAAAACGGTTTCATTTTTTATGTTGTATAAAAGAACCGATAATGAAATGTAGTCGCTAATTTGTGAATTACAGTTGATCAAGCTGTGACCCATCATACATTTTCTGCTATACTTGTTTCTACCTGGTGACAATAGGATGAATTGGATGAGATGGATGAGATGTTTTAAAAGCTTTTGTTTCCCCTTTAACCCTACAGGCTGCCATGTTGTGGGATGAGCCGATTCATTCAATTAAATGAGTGACCACGGTATTGGTAGTTTATGGTATGTACTCTTTTGCTTTTTCACATTTTACTCACACCTCTCAACTTTTTATATGTCTATGACAGTCATTAGTCAACTGGGCTATGTACGGTAATAGTAGAAAATCAAAAAAACAACTGAACTTGCTAATGATTCTGAAAATTCCAGCAATAGTGGGATATTCTTTGCCATTTAAATCCTTTAGGAAGTCCAATCCCCATAGTCCAGGCTCATAAGGCTAAAGCACCCAAATTAAAGTGTGAATTGTAAAACATGCACCTCATTGAGGCAGGTGTGAACTTGAGCTATGTCACCAGAGGTGTAGAATTGCCAGGATAAAAATTACCATTGTTATTGACCATTAAGTGGCGTATTTTGAACCGTATGTGTTCTCCATTCAAACTGTGTATTTTATTGTCCCAAAACAGTGGGGATGATTTACTAAAGGCAAATAGGCTGTTCATTATGTAAGAGAATTTGCACTTTGCAGGGGATGTTTACCCTTATTTTAGTGAATGAGGTGAAGCTCTGCTGACTTCCATTACCCAATCATGTGCAAGCAGAAATACAGTTTTCTTTAATTTTCCTTGGACATGATTGTAGAGTCTTCACAAAGTGAAATTTCACCACATTAACCAAACTAAGGGAAACTTCATCTGAAAAGTAGAAATTCCCTTGCAAAGTGAACAACCTTTGCAAAGTGAACAACCTTTGCAAGGACATTCGTCCCCATTGTCTCATCCGGAATTAGCCCTCCTTTTTTAGACCATCTATTTGTTCATCAATGGTTTTGTCTCCCCAACAAACTTGTTTCTAACCTTTTTAAAAAATGCTAAATATTGTATTTTTATTTATTTTTTATAAACTTTGAAAAAAAATTATATATATATTTTTTTGGTTTACTGTTGGGGGCTTTGGGGAGATATCAGGGGTCTAAACAGTCCCCTGATATTTCCCTTTTAAAATAGAAAAAGAGATTGAGGACACAGAGTCCTTAATCTCTTTTTCTGCAGCCCCTGTTATAAATGAACAGGAAATCCTCTATACTGAGTGTTCCTGTTCAGTCATAACTTGTGGAGATAGTATGTTTACCATGTCCACAATCATGAATGAACAGGAAGTGATGAAGATTACTTCCCATTCTTTCATAATTGAGGATATAGCAAACATACTATATCCTCAATTATTTACAGTCAGCGATCATTGATCACAGAGTATTTGTACCGCTCTCCTTCCGAACTCGCTGTCACAGTAGGCTGAGCGAGTGGCCCCACCTCCTGTGACAGCTGGCAGCGGTCTCTGCCCCCATACAGCTCTCCTGATCTGTCACAGGAGGCTGCGTGGGGAGAGCCCGGCCTCTTGTGACACGCAGGGCCGCTTACATCGCTCTCCTCCCCCTCGCCACTCGGCCTCCTGTGACAGTTTCTCTCCTCCCCGCTGGATGCTGCTCTGTGTCAGAGGGAACACAGAGCAGCGCCCAGCGGGGAGGAGAGAAACCAGGCATGCACCGCAATTTCAGACGAAAGATGGCACTTTTGTCATTTTGCCAAAAGTGCCATTTTCGGCCGATATGTTTCGGCGCCTGAAAATCCGGTGCATCTCTACTAATAACCCTCATCTTGTGTTATAGCAGGTTGCAGAAAGTTCCATTAGATACTGGTCAGTGTGAGTGGATTTACTGTACAATAAGTATACACATTTACATCCCTTTTACTGTATATTACATAGTCCAAAGACCTCAAGTTGAGCGTGACATTAGTGGTAACTGGATTAGGGTGAATGGACTTTCTACATGTGGTTCATTTCCAGACCATTATGTAACCAGAACAAAATAAGCGGCTTGTATTATTGGTGTAAAAATAATAAGCAAGTCCAGATGTTTTTGACTTACTACGACTAAAATTCCCAACTCAAACAGTGTGTGCTGTGTATGGTTTAATTGAACTTTTGGTGTTTGAGATTTCTGGGTTGGTGTTCAGTGGTGAAGATTCCAGCTGCTCACACTAATGCATAAGCACAAAAGGGAAATATTTAAATAGCATCTAAGTATCTCCTCCTGTCTTCCTCCGGATATTTAGTTTACTGTTTTATGAATTTAGATTTATACAACTTGACAACTAATGCAGTACATTCTAATGATTTCCCTATTCTGATTTAAATAAAAAAAAAACAATATTAGCTGAAAATCAGGCTTTAAAGCAACTCTAATTCAATTTTTTTTACTGATTTCTGAATAATTATTTGTAAAATGTTATTGCTACCCATCTTCCTTTTTTTGGGAGGTTTACTTTTACCTCCCCTACATATTACTATCAGAAAGTGGGGCAGAATTCCCTAATCTAGACAAAAAACGCAATAAAACACTTTTTAGTAGAATAGAGAAGAAGTATGGTGGATACTTATTGCTGTCAGTAATACCAGCCTACCTAAGTATCTAACCCTTCCTCACGTGATGTAAACCAAAAAAAAACTTTGTTGCACAATATATGTCATGGCTGAAATTTAGGGCTTTAAGTGTTTTTTGTCCTTCTGACACTGACACCTGGGACCCATTAGGCACTGAATCCAAAAGTGCATATTACTCTTCTTAAAACCAAAATAGTTGCTCTATGTAGTAAATATAGTAAGTTTTTGGCTAAAGCATGTGCGTACAAACATGTACAGCCTTTAAACACCTCTCTCAGCCCCTATCAGAGCAGTCATTGCTATGTACTGCTGTATAGACAGCATTTACACTACTCCGAATGCTTCTAAACAACATCATTTAGAGCATCGTGCTACTGGCCTGGGCATAGCATTCACACATCAAGCGATAAACTCCCAAATTATTATCAAATTTGTTTTGTACAATTGTATCTGCGTTTATACAATATTTACAATTTATCTCTATCATGATAAAAAAAATACAGTATAAGGTAACATAAACAATGGAAATGCATGTGAGGCCACATGGCTTCCCTTTATCTGGGATGAGCAGATGCTGTTGTCTGTAATGTGTAGCGTTGGCTAACCGAGATTATTTTTCTTCCGCTTGCTCGGACTGTGGCTGGGGTCTGGTTTCAGTTCATGATACTGCACCTGTTTAAACACACAAGAACAAAACAAAATGGTTAAATGGACGCACTCTTGTAATAGAAAAAATATGGGGAACCATTTTTTTCTGCCGGAGAACAAAATCAAAGCCTTGCAGCACAATGAATTGCTACAGCTGGAATGAAGACATAATAGATGGAAAAATGAAGCCAGGAACCATGTCAGGAATAAGTCACATTTACCAGGCAATACAAGGATATGCGTAAGCTTTTTCCTACCACAAATCTCAATACAAATTAATAAACTAAACATGAGATTGCGATCCATCACGGGAGTGAGTTTGGAGTGGTGGTTGCTTTACAACACACACACACACAGGGACCATAGGGGACAAAAGTAGCCACCCTCCAGAAGGGAGGACAGTGTCAGCACCAATTCAGAGATGATTTGAGGATCTACAGCTGAGTGATACACAAATAAGAAATGTTTTTATTGACCTTACCCTGCAAACACTTGCTGCTATTTTGGCTCACCTCTTTACTTTTTATCTCAGCTCACCTGGTGTTCTGTCAACATGACAGCTTTTTAAAGATCCTTTCCTTTGCTGATACAGCACAAAGTAAAAGGGTGACTGAACTCCTCACCTTCCTAGCAGCATATACTCACCTTTCTGTGAGACCAACTGTGTCTCTTTGATGAGCTGCTGGGAGATAAGTGAAATATCTGGCACTTCTGGGTATGGGTGAGCATGTGACTCACTCCTCTTTCTAAGTTTATATAGCGGGGGGGGAGGGGGTTAAGTAATTATTTTACTTTAGACTTATGATGCCGACCTGGCCACCTGCTTAATAAAAATATATAGACTACAAGAGTCTGTTTTACTACTGAGCAACCACAATTTAATTTCTCTGTCTTAGTATTTTTAGCATGTTGCTGTTTTAAGGGTTACCTGGGTGTGAGTCAGGGACCAGTCTTAGGTACCTTATCAAAATCTCCATAAAGCCATGGAACGTTTTATATCACTATGAAACAACCCACAGAGCTGTTGGTCGAATTATCTGGATTCTGGGTATGTTTGGGTGAGCAGTAAGGAAAGGAAGGGAGCAGGTTTAAAAAGTTTATGGCAAGTAGTAGAATGCTTTCTCTAGACATGTATTCGGTCCCAGGGAACTAGCACTAAACTTTGATTATATTCCCTCTGATTATTGCTCTGTACTATATGAAATGACTCACCAGCTGCACATCAGATGGAACTCTGGTAAGGAAGTCGAAAATTTCATTATTATCAATTGTGTAGGGGCTTCGAATTTTCTTTGTAAACTTATTGATTCCTACAAAAAAAGAGTAAAGAAAACTGTAAAAGTTTAGCTCAAATATATGGAAATACTCTCTCATGCATCTTTGCACTGATGAGTAAAGAAAATAATGTTAATTATAT